AGACCTTATAGTGAATTACTTCCAACTAGTCTGCAACAAGACGTAGTACACGTGATATTGCATTGCTGCGATTAGTTAGTACATTCAAATTTTAATTAATGAGTATAGGTATATTAATCAAAAGTCGTCAACTGTTTGTCTTTTTTTTAAAATCGATAACCAAAAAAACTATCAATTTACAAATGGCAGTATATTAGAAAATCCATTTCGTATTTTTGCTTCGTGATCTAACGTCTCACTTTTGTCAAATAGTAAAATGTGTACCCTTACAACAAATGATGAGTTGTGTTAAGACCACCCAGTACTTTTAGTTTAAAAGTTAAGATATTAACTGTTATATCATATGGTTAGTTACCGATGTTACACATTAGTTAATTAATAATATAGTGTATTGATCCTTTAATACCATTAGCAACAACTATTTCATTATTTTTCTTTAATAAAATTGTTTGAAAATTTAACATCTTAAGAAGTGAACTTTATTGATTTATAAAGAAAGAAGAATATTACTATGCTGTTGAATAATTAATAATTTTAATTCCCACCCACCTGCATCCCTCGCTCTCTCCAAATACTTTCTTTGTTCTATTCATTTATTCGAAATGAATTAATTTACTCATACTCATAAACAACATAAACTAGTAAAAAAAATTTGTTTTTTAAAGGAGGAAACACTATACTACTTATTTATTCATTCAAAAGTTCTAGTAAACTATGTGTTTATCTATAAATTCATTGTTTTAACTAGTGTTATTTAGCGCTACTTCCCCTTTTTACAATATGTATCTAACCAGTGATTGACATGACAATGAAAATGAGAAAAATTAAGCAGAATAAAAATGGTAACTTATTAATATTAACGACAACAATAAAAAAATTGTTGAGAAATAATTGAAATTCTCAATCATTAATCAATGAATTGTTAACCAGTTTTTCGAATCAAATAAAACGGCTCAAACCATTGCTAAGCATACACACTTACACACACACACACGCACATACACAGAAATCATTGAATGTAACTTATAAATAAATGTAGATTGTTCAACGTAGTAGATACATTTTGTTTTACCCATTTCCTTATCAAAAATAATTATGAAAAGGAACTGAGAAAGAAATAATGTCAAATTGATTGAAAAACAAATTTATGGTTTCATCAAACTTGTGAAAGTGGGATAGAATTTTAGATCTCTACAATAATGGGATAAGAGTGGGTAGTTCTAATAGAGAATAAGTAAATAATACAACCCGGTTATTACATTCTCATCATTCTCATAATTAATGAAATTTTTAAAGAAAAATAGGGAAGTGAATGAATCAGTTAGGTGATTAATTACTGAATTAGTAATCAAGTGAATCAAATAGTTAGAAGGTTCACTGAAACAAACCTTACATTTTAAAAAAATATACATCACATTTCATCCGGTCGTGAACACACAACGATATGAAAAGATGTGTTACCAAGAACTGTCCTTCTAAAAATAACGCGATAATAATAGAAGTAGAAGGATGGATGAAAATAGAAAAGTCTATTGGTCATGGTATTAATTAATCGTATGGTGTTACTCACATATATTGAGAACCAAACCCTCACTGATCGATTTCTACTCAAATCAGTCACTGATGCAAATTTCTACGTTTGAAAGACCCAGCTACGCGAAAGATGAAGTGTGAGAAAGAATATTAAATTCTATCTAAGCGGTCTAGATTTATTCCACTCAATTCGCAAGATTTAAAGTTCCTGATTCTTTCTGAAAAAATGGATTATCATCACTGATACGTTTAAAACTATATATATATATATATATATATATATATATATATATATATATATTTCGGTTGAAGGAGTTTCGTAGAGATCGATTTTATTTGCAGATTATAATCAATGTAGACTGCTTTCAGTAAGAGCGCCATTGAAAACCAGGGGTCAGCGGACACCAATTTTGTCATGGCATACGACTTCCAAATGCAAGTGAACATACATGACCCTTTGAGGTATCAGACTTAGGACCTTCAGGTCTCATTTGTGATTAATATAACTTACAAAAAGAACATGTACTTGTGAACCGTAGGGTAAAAGTTTGAGCCAAACCCTTATCCGAAAAATTATTAGTTTAAACTTTATTTACTATAAATTAAATAAATAGTGGTACAATTTAATTGATAGATTGTTTATCAGAGAGACATTTTACTGAAATCAAAAACACTTTCCCAAATGTAATTTCCTAACTAATGATGACATAATGAAAGACGGACATGTGGACTTGCCTATCAGACTCGAATGAATGACTTGTAGATTCTAGTGTAAAGTAAAAAGTGAGTGACATTTAACTTTCATCATTTAAAAACTTATGGAAACACTTTAATATAATCTCCACACTGTTTAATTTTTTTTAGTTTTCATCATCATTAAGTTACAATGATAATGTTGAGCGTGTTAAATCGCTACTTCTTTCTATGTAGATTGTGCATACCAACGAAATCCATTAATTCCTGTTTTAATATATTTTGTTTACAGTAGAGTTGCCAAGAAACTGTTTGATTAGTAGTTTATTAAATAAAAGACGAGCAATTAAAGTGTAGGTATGTTAAAGTACGTGTTTTCTACAAACAATTACATCATATCGCTATCTCATATTTCTATCTCACTAACGTTTGAATGAATTTACTAATAAAAATTTTGTACGTGACAATTTCCCATGACATTACTCTTCACTATAAGAATAATGAGAAAATATTGACACTCAGATTAATGAGGTTATGTAGGAATATTATTTTATTAATAAGGTCTAGAAATTGTCTTAATAAACCTTAAAAAAACTGACAAACTTTCTGGTTCAAGACTTTTCAGTAGTAGGCATTCAACATCTTATAACAGATTGAAATCCGAATATTCTCACCTCACAGTAAACACGACAATCTCAGGCTATTGAATTGATGTTTAGTAGATCACATTCCCCTTTTCAGAGTTTCTCGTCGACCTAATCCAGTTACCTAACATCACTGTATAATGCACACGATGTCGAGCCACTAAAAATTATGGCTATGTTGCAATTTGATCAATAGAATTCAATTAGCACTTATCACCAGATGAACATGACATTACTCAATGCTCAATGATCAATCAATATAAATATTTCAGAATAGTTAAGTGGTAATGTTGCAGACTGCTAAACTGTATGAAGCCGATTTGAATCACACAGGACAGAAAAGCTCCCCCAATTTTGAGGATATGCTTTTCTGTAAAGTGTCGACTACTATGAAATCTGGATCAAGAAAAGTTCGCTACTCACTGACTACCTCAAGCCACCTAGGAGTGTTGATATACAACTCGACGTAATGTTATCTATAAAAAGATAATTGATTAATAAGAGGGTATGAGGAACTAGTCAATTGGTTTATTGTCAAGACTGTTTACATAGTCACTGGATATGACATGAAATGATGAAAATGTAAACGTATTTTGTACTTAGTTATATGGTCAGAATAAACAAAAATCGATCGTGCAAATATTTTCGGAAGTAAAAAGATCAGAAATGTAGTTGCATAGATTTCTATAACCAAATTTTATATTTAAAAATAAGAAATCAAAAAGTCTTGATTAAGTTGGATCAAATTTGATAGATAACTCTAGAAGAACTACCTATGCAACGGTTTAATGTACAGTATTAATTAAATGTACTGAAAATAACTACTACATGTTTCCGTTCTCTATTCTTTACTGAATTGTAAAGATTGATATTCAGAAATATCATTATAAATCTGTCTAGTTTCATTCATAATATAGCCAGCTATACAGGATTAGTAAGATGGATAAATTTTTGAAATAAGGGGGGGGGTGAAGATAGTGGTGATTTTTTGATAGCTGATTTAATGAGTCGTCCTAGTAGGCGACCGCTCGACAGTGCAAAAAGGCCGTCCAGTGCTTCCAGGTTTTCAATAACGGTCTAGTTTACATGAACTCATGAATTTAATTATTAAGAATATCGACAACTCAATGTTTATCAGTATTATATCTGTAATAATTTAAATCAGTTAACTACTTAAGTTTAACCCACACCAGTAGTACAACTTTTAGATATTATTATCAGAAAGGAGTTTGACTGGAGATTTTAGTAATTTTATAGTTGAATTCATGGGTCACTTGAAGCCAAACAACCATGGGAAACCTGGAAACATCGGACCGACCATTTCGCAATATTGTGAACTTCCTCAGCAGTGCACATCCACGATCCCACCTCCTGAGATTCCAACCCAAGACCTATCAGCCTGACGCTTAAACTCGTGCTTAACCTCTAAACCACTGAGCCGGCATCCAATGGAATTAATGTCTAACTTCAACCAATCCATGAATTTGAGCACACTACTGAGAAGTTCCATACTGGAACGAAACGGCCATTCAGTGCTTCCAGGTTTTTTTTTGTAGTGGTTTAGCTTCAATTCACTGATGAATTCAACTATAAAATTACTAAGATCTCCACAAAATCCCCCCTTCTGATAAAAATCTATATTAATCAATATTATTTCTATAGTAATTGAAATCAATTAACTACTTAAGTTTTACTTACATAAGTAGTATAACTCTTAAATATTAAAATATTTGTCAAATGATTATTCCTTTTTTTAAAAATTCTATTAAATATAATAATTCTATATAAAATATAATCTCACATGATTATTTATATGCTAAAACAATAACAAAATTTTAAAGAGTATTATAATACTTGGTAATTATTATAAACAATCCATGATTACATAACAGTTGTTTCTTTGTTCCGAAAGAATAATAATAATAATAATAATAACAGCTCAATATGTTCATTGAAACTTTATTTTAAGCCAATTCAATATGTAAATATTTTCTTAAAATATAATACAATGCTAAAGACATTTAGTTGTTGTTTAATTTTTTTGTATTTTGAATCCATAGCTTTTATTTAAAATAATAATAATAATAATAATAATACAATTAATTATCTGTACAATGTTTCAATTTATAGGTTGTGCCTTCGTTACATTTTGTCATAGACAATCAGCTTTAAAATGTCAAGATGCTTTACATGGTAAACAGACGTTGCCTGGGGTAAGTTTAGTAATAATTGATAATAATAATAATAATAATAATTGTAATAATAATAATTATTATTATAACTAATACCCACTTACACACCTACACACACCTACACACACATACACAAATAATTTAAAATAAGTTGTGAGATAAACTAAAAAGAAAAAATAAGACATACATGTTTGGTAGGATGTGAAATTCATGTTTTCTTAAAATTTCAAGAATGGATGCGGGGATAATTATACTCAGCTAACTTATATAAATACTTTAAGCGGGAATGATACAATTCAAATGTAGCGTGAAAGATTTTATTAAAATAATAGAACATGGATAACTGTAGGGGATTTGTTACAGTTCTTTTTGCCACGATTTTCAATATTTTATCTATAGTATAATAATAATTATTATCATTATTAATACTACTATTATTATTAGGAATAGTACTACCATAGTAGTATAATTAGACGTGGTATAATTACGAATTCTATGAGGATTTCGAATTACATTAACATTATTTTAAAATTACGTGTGACACTTTTTTTCTTTATGCTTACAGTTATTGAATGATTTCTTATTCAAGTAAAGATTTTGTGAAGTTTTTTAAATGAAGAATAATTCTCAACGTTAATCATCATCCATGATATTTAACTAAAACTTGAGAAATTCACTTCATATTCTTCTTGACAGATAATCTTAATCATGTCGTCAGTGAGATGGATATTACTAGTGACAATAGATGATCTTAGCAATCAACCACATATTCATTGTATTCGGTTTTGCTTTGTGTGAGGGCTGGGATACTTCCCGGGTGCCCAAACTGAAGCAGGGGGTCTTCTTAGGAGGCCACACCCCGAGCCTTTGACCTGAAGGTTTGATCCAAAAGGCAGTGGAGCAACGTCAGAAGATGCAGTCTCATGGTAGCCGGTGACCAACAACTGGTTCATACGCAATTTGTTCCTTCAGGAACTAGTCGAATGATTTATGTGGCGCATACCTATTTGGTGCCTCTCGTACCAATGTTTATGTGTTTTAATAATAGAATAAATAAATAAACATTATATTCGGTCATTCACGTCATTAAATTCCGACTCAGTGTTTTAAATGATTAAAGGTTCACGAGTAAAATTTCACGATCCTGACTTCATTTCTTCTGGAGAGATCATGATTGTACGCTCCCAAAGGTGAAAGTGAGTAGTACCCATCCAGTTTTCAAATATACTTCAACCGATGTCAAACCTTTATAAGTCAAACTAATCTTAACAAAAGTTTAATAAGTTAAAATATAGTTTACACCATGAACTGATATCCAAATACTGTTACCTAACATTCAACGATTTTCCAGTCTAGATCAGTCCTGAAAGTAAAACAATTACAAGTTTAGTTTTACTCTCTTTACCACAGTGTTTCTTATTATTTTCATTGATTCATCTGCAAGTATTTTTTAAATTCTTAAATAGGTGGACATTTAACCAGAAAGATTTGTGCATAGACATTGTTTGATATAGCATAAAAGAAACAACAGCATTATTTTTTCAACGAACTGATCTTAGCTAAACACTCAGTGAAACCACCAGGAAACACTAGACAATTGTTACCACTTAGCACATAACTTCAGAGGTAGTGTACATCCGAAATTCCACTAGAGATCAAACTCAGAAACTCTAAATTTGACAGCAAGCGCTTTACATTTTTATTACTGTGTCAACTCCGATAGTTTACATTCTCACTGTTAATCAATTCATAATATTGCGAAACCGTTTCCCAATGTTATCTTTGAGAAACTACATCACATCTGATACAATTGAAATTCCACAATCACAGTTTCTCACTAAAATTCTCGAAATTAACCCTTAGTGAGCACATGAATATTATTAATAGTAATAATATTAGTATGGGAGGTTTGTAGAGGTTGTTGAATTGTATAATTCCCATCATGATCTAACCGAGTTCTATCTCAAATGGAGATGTGAATGTATACCGTTGTAAAGTTTTATACTATGACAAAACGATCAGTGCACGATGTTGCCAATCCAATTCAAGAAAGTTTTTAAACCCTATACACTAACAACAATATCGATTAGTGATAATACTTAGGGAGAGAATTTTTTGATAATTTTTATGAACATATTCTAACACATTTTAATTCTTTTCATGAAACAGTCTGCTAATGTTGTTACATAATTTGTACCGATTTGAAGTAAAAAAAAACAAAAACAAATAATTAATTATTATTAATTATGTTTCAATAGGCTATTTCATATATATTTGTACTGTTTAGTAGAATAAGAGATAGTCGACTAATCAAATTATTATTACCTGAAATGTAATATACAAATCTTGAAGTAGGTTTTACGGAATCCTTTGTATAGTTTGATGAGGTGAATCAACCAGATGATATTGAATAATCATTTTATCTCATTACGATGCTCAGTGGAATTAGAATTTTCATGTGGAGGTTTGAAAACACTAATCGTTTCTATCTCTCTGTAATCAAGATGAATTTTAGTTAAAGTTTTCACTATTCTACGTCTTCAAGTTCATTTATATTTATAATTAGTTCAATACTGAAGATCTCTATAAGAAAACATCCAACTAAATAACAACAGTCAGTATAGGATTGTGGAGATTGTTGAATTTTATTACAATCATGAACCGATCATTGTTGTACCTATTGAAATTCTACTTATACACCATCAAATCCTGTGCTGAATGACACAGAGGTTGTGTTCACTTACAAGATTGAAGGTCCTCAGTTCTATCCCCACTTTGGGGGGTTACGGACGCTCACTTTTGAGGAGACATCAACAACAATAAATTGATAAAAATGATCAATAATTGAAGTTTGTACAAGTATTTCAACTAAAGATTTGATCACTGGCATGGTTGAGATTGTATATTTCCATTCAGCAATCTCATAGGCTAGAACGAAATCAATGAACTCAGTGGTCCCTTAACTTTTAAACAGTTGTCTAGCTTTCATCAGTCGCTGAAATCAATTGTAAATATGGAGGAGGCTATGATATAAAGAAGTTTTATCAAACGAAAAACAAAAAAAATTTTCATTCAAATTTACAGATTATTAACTGTTAGATAAAAATAGAATTTTATTTCATGTCTTTCATGAATTGAAACACTGTTTTTTTACTTGAAAAAAAAAACAACAAAATTTCAATTCGGTTTTAATTAAACAGAACAAAAAGATAAATATATATCATTCGATAGAATAGAAAGTTGAATAATAAGTGAAGTGAGAAGTGGTTAATGAGGAAGAAAGAAAAAAGGTAACAAAGAAAGTGTACGAAGAATATAGTGATGGAGAGAGAAAAGATAACTTCACATTAATTAAGTAAAAAATTTTTAAAATTGAACAACAGCGAAACAGCAAAGATTGATGATGATGATGATGACGATAATAATAATAACATAAAATGGATCGTATGTGGTCAAAATTAACATGATTAGAATATTGTGTTTTGTCCATTAGACTATCCAATCTATCACAATCATACAAACATGCCGATTTACATACATGGTTAACATATTTCATTTAAACCGTCATCACTAAAGCATTTCATCCTATTGCCTGTCTTACTCTCTAGAGGCAATCACATAAACATTTTATCATAAAATTAAAAATGAAAATTATTTTTTTTTAATTTTTCTCTTGGAAATAACAAAAAAGTTTTGTCAAGATTCACACCATCTCGTTTTATTGAAAAGAGAGATTGTCAGTGTATATATATATACAATATCTATAAGCTTTGGTTGTGTGCATACATGTTGATGGGTAGGTAGGTTGATAGGTGGTATATTTAATGATAATCAAATAAATTATTTATTGAATAAAGGAAATCGTATAGTAAGAAAATATTTAAAAATTATATATTCCAAAAATAATTACATTTTGGTATAATGATAAAATACATAGTAAATATATAGAAAATATTGATTTGTACTATTTGTAATTGTATATTGATATCTAGGACTACAATTAATCAATGATATGCATTGATGTATGTGCATTCCGTGGAAATGATCTCAATGTAGATAATACGTCATAACTATCTAAAGGAGGCAAGTATTGTTCTATTTCGGGTTCACTAGATAGATTCACCTGCTTCTCAGTGTTTATATTCACTCTGAGATCCAATAGTTAAGTGAATAATACGTTGATGTTTAGAGTTAAACGTATAAGGTTTAAATTCAAGAGTCCAGGCATACTCAACTGATAACTTCTAAATAAGACGAAACACGAATTATGATTTTTCAACATTTTGTATAGTGAGTATGTTACAGTGAGCTTTGGATTTTCTAAATAACCAAACACAATCCCTCTTGTAGACTATTAAGTTATAATTTTTATAATTTCGTATCTGATCTAAAAGGCTTGACTTACTGTACACCTGATTTCCAAATGTTTCTATGTTTACTCTGTTTATCAGAACAACTAGGAAGACACTATATTTTCTGAATCTTCATCTGTCGTGAATTCATTATTTTCAATGATTCGATTAATCATTCAATGAATATTTGAAAACAAGAAATCTTTGATAGAACTGTAGTTTTTACTCTTTACATTACTTTTTTTTAAGTAAATCCTGATTATGTTTAATTGTTGCTCAAACTATTCTCGAACTATAGACTTTCATTTGAAGTAATTAAATCTTATATTCTTGGTTGATTGAGATCAATCAAACTGAAGGTCCTTGATTCGAAGCCCGCGAGCGGGATTGTAGATGCACACTGCTGAGAAATCCCACAGTAGGACGAAACAGCCGTCCAGTGCTTCCAGATTTTCAATGATGGTTCAACATTGATCAATTTATGATCTTAATCAAAAACTTAATCATTTTCACAACTCTATACTGATTCTTGATTGAATTGATCTTTTCCATTGAATATTATATCATCTTACACATTAAATCATATATTATTTCAACTTGTATATAAGACTAAGGATGATTAGAATCATTTTAATAAATTTAACTATAAATAATCTAAATAAATCAAAA